GTATTATCTAATTACTGTAGTTATCTTTATCTAATTGAAGATTGTAATATTGCGATCGTGATGATGTTTATTTTATGAAAAAAACTATATTCGAAATTTTCATTCTTCTACTGATGTAAGTTTATTTTAAGAATAAAATTCTGTTAATTCTATATCTGAATGGCTTGATCAGTTTGCTACTTTAACTGACACTGTTAGAATTTTCTGTGAAAATTTTAATGATGTGACAGTAGTAATTAATCATCCATCTCATACGAATACAACATTTCTGGATTTTCATATGAATTTTTTTTTCATCATGTTGGATTAGATATTCAATCAATAACATTTGATCATCTTCATCAAATTATTTCTAAGCACAATGTTTTTCTACTTAGAACATACCAAAAATATCGAAATTGATTTTATTTAAAAGTACGAGATATTTGAGACAAAATTCTGTTGATACATATATGTAGCACTAAAAATGCTTTAGATATTTGTATTATAGTAATATAAGTCAAGTGATATTATCATATGAAGAATTTTAATGAAAGCAATGTACCATTTTTTTTAGTCGGATAAGGAAAATTTTCGTTACTGCATTAGGATGCATAATGTACTTAACAGTCAACCAAACTCAAACCATGATGAATTATATTTTGCCTTAGGGGGTCAAGAATCATCATATAATATAATTGTCAAATGATGAAAACAGTTTCGGAAAGAGACTGAAGATTAAGTCACGACTTGTTCAACCTGTAACTGAGACAATATATGAAAATATTGAAGAAGTTTGCTGGTTTATTGATAACGAACTCTAACCTACGATTGATGAAATACAAATAGAGATTGGTATAAGTGATGATATATTTGAACAGATTGTTTTTGATTAATTGAAACTAAAAAAGAATGACCACCATCGGGATAACCCAGATTGTTGACAAATACTCACTGTGTCGAACAGATTCGACTTGGTCAAGAAAATTTTGAAAAACTTCAGCAATGAACATAGTGATTTTGTGACATAATGACAGATAAAGAGTCATGGATTTATCATAGATAAAATGGCTGAAAGTCATCGAATTCTGCATGGACACCAGCTGGAAGAACTCTGCCTACCATGATGCAACATAGTGGCTTTCCTCAAAAAACTCTTTTTTATATTTTTGTCAAAACTACTGATTAAGTAGAGATCATCGGTCATCACTATTATGTCGATAATTATTTGGAGTTTATAGCCCAGAAAATTTGCAAGAAAAAATCAATATCTGATCCATATATGCATAAATATGTTTAAAGGTATCTCTAATCGAAAGAGTTCAAATCCATTTAGCAATCACTCAATTCTCTAGACTTGACACTAAATGAATTTTGTTTATTCGATCTCATCAAATAAAATTTAACTGATTACACCAACACACAATTCGTGAACCGTGCTGTAACCAAAAGCATCAACTAGATTAATAAAGATGATTATAAAAAACTATTCATAAGTAATTTAAAGGAACTCAATTGTGTGTAAATAATCAGGAAAACTACTATCAACATTTAAAGAAATAAAATTTGAAATAAGTTGTTTCGGAAATTTTTTTCTTGAAAATCTCGTTACTTTTGGTATGCCCGAATTATGATATGTGTTGACAATCTACCATTTTTTAGTGTCACACTAAGTTAAACCAATCACAGTTATAAGGGGTGATACATTATCATATGTATCAAATGTTTAAAGAGAAAATGAAACTCTTTAATATGATCTTATTGAACTAAACAAACTCAGGAAAATTAGTAGCTCAATTAATGCAAATTCTAACTTTAGTTAATACAATGTAGAGACCTTCATTATTAATTAATCTATGGAATCATGTATCATTTGTTTATGCTCGTAAATACGATATCTATCTCTTTATCAATGGAGAATTAAACCTAACACATTAGTCATGAGAAGTTCTTCTTTACATATCTAAGCATATTGAAATGCTTGTTTTTATCATTCTTGAAAATAACAGTCTATTGAATTCCACATCGATTGTCGGCTATCATTCTAATAGTCTTAATCTGTTATTTGTAGAATAAAGATATTTCTTAAGTATAATATCAACTAATAGAGTGAATATAATAGCAATAATCGTTTTATTAAAGTGATATTTCATTCAATTGAAATTTTTCTTAAATTTTAAATAATTTTTATTTGATTATTCTTATTTTTCATTTGTTCCAGAAAATGATTTTCATACTGTTTTTTGTTTTAGTTTATATCTTAGTAAATAAAATTCATACTTTTATTCCATTATAATATTCAAATAGTAGTATTCAAGAAATATATGTCTGTCGACATTTGAGGATATAACAATTTATGCACACAAGCAAATGAGAAAAGAAGCGTTTAAAAGTCATCAATCTAAATTGTTAAAACAGAATGATATATCTCCAAAAACTTGTTTATCCGCCTTAAAAACATTTAGCTTTTCAACATATTTTTACCGCTTTAATGGATGAAGGTTAAATATCTGTGACCGCTTAGACACCGTTTTTGGAACATATCAAATACTTTTGAACAATGTGAATATTTTCAATGCTAATTTGTTTTAACGATCAACAAAAATATTTCATGCTTAACCAGAAAATATAAAATGTTCTCAATGACAATGAAATTATTAAATTAAATAATACAAATACTCGATAAGATACTTTCAAAAAAGTATTTCATCGATGCTAATCAGTGATCGATCTACAATTTTGTATAAGATAGATTAACACCTTTTGCGAAAATAAAGAGCAATTCTAGACAGAAAAAAATGTTTGGGATTCATTATCCGTAGAATAAGTCTAAAAGAGCTTTCAAAGGTTGAGACAACCGATCTGTTACTCGTCTCTATGCCCTACTGATATTTGTTCATGGATGTTTCTAGATAAAAACATGTCTCGTAATGTTTTTACGTTGCGTTACATTAGTCATTATTTTTCAATCTTAGATACTTCTTAATTAGAATATATAAATAGGCTAAAGAAAAGTTCTCTATATAGATATTTCTACACTGTAAAACAAGATTGATCTTCTAGAAATAAATTATTAAGTCAATTAGTTTCCGTCTTTTATTCTAGACAAATAACATTCTGAAATAAGATTGAGATGAAATGTTAGGAAATAATAAACTAAGCATTATCCATGCACTTTTTGTTTACACATATTATTCATTGCATTGAAGTTTATTTATTATTGTTGGATTTGCTATTTTCTTCTTGTTCTTCCTATTAAGAACAATATCTTATCAAAAATATGAAAACAAAATGATTCGATTTGGATGTTGTCATACTGATACATTACTTCATTTTGCTTGACATGCATATTTTTACTGACCTGTATATATGCGAATGTAATTCTATAAGAAATGAAAGTGCACTAAAATGACATTGTTACTTGTCAGGAACATATTTCTTTAAAGTACTGCAAATTCTCAACTGTTCAACAAGCGAGATAGAATCTCAAATGAGTATATATGAGAGAGAGAGAGAGAGAAAGAGAATAGACAAGTACGCGAAGAAAAAAAATTCCCTTTTGTTCTGTTTGGACTCTTGCGAAGCAAGAAGAAGAATGAAAGAGAAAATACTGAACATTATATGCAACGATATATACATATATATTGTCAAAGACATAAACATAGAGAAAATATATATTTAATATATAAATAAAATATCGAAATTTTCACTTGCTTATTTGAAATGGTATAATGAAACAAAAATAGAATCACTTCATTTATCGACAATTTATCCCTAATATATATGTTACACTCATTTCTATAAAAAAAGAACTCATTAGACATCAGATGTGTCAAATCCGACAAGAACGATGCTAGTATGTAGTGATATATTCTATATAAAGAAAGAACAAGTAATGATATCATTAACTACTAATAGCTTAACTTTTCATGGCTTACAACATAAGTCTATTAATATGTTTCATAGTACTCTTGGGAGACCACAATATTTCATGATTGTTTATCTCAAATAATTGTGAGAAGTCTCGTACTTTATTCTTAACAACTCAAGATAGTTTTTGATATCGACAGGTTTCTTTATTTTTTCGAAAATATATTAGATATATTGAATATATAATATCTATAGACAAATATTCGATTTAAAGATAGAAATAAATAAATAAATATATATTTCTTTAATGAAAAAGAAATTTGAAGAAATAAAATTTAATATGAATTAATATCTATTCAATTACAAAAACATATTTCAATCATTAAACAATTTCTTTACTTAAATTTTAGGCTCGGTATGTATGTTTCAACAACGATTGTATAAGAAAATATTTAATAACTACTACATGAAAAATTTTGATAAATTATATTCCATTGCTTTAAGATGATTTACGTAAATATGAAAATATCTTGTTTCAACGTCTTCTATTTCATAATAACGAAGTCAAACAATTTTTGATAGTTTAGGATTGAAATACACCAAAATAAACTATAAAAAAATCCGTTAAAGATACGAATTGAATCAGTTAGTCCAGTTATACGTTTCAATATGGTAAAAAGATTAATGACATTATTTTTTAATCGTTTATTGTCTTCCTGGTATATGATTTGTCTCAATATGTTTATATTATGAACTTGTCAAGTATTTGCTTTAATAATCTACTAAATCAATACAAATTACTACAAAAAAGTATTCTTGAAAATAATTAAGAAAAAATAAATTTTATGTCATATTTTGATTAATTATTACATAATAAGTACATTAAAAAATGAAAGAAAAATATATATTAGATGTCTTTCTTAATAGGATAATAAATATTCAATTTTGAAGTTTATAAGATGTAAAAAAAATCCATCATAATTCATATCTTTTCCTTGTATCTTCATATATTATTTGTGTAAGACATACTTGTCCGTAACAAACAGAGAAACAAAATAACAAGAATTATCAGTAATCTGTCGTTGATACATATATATCTGTAATGCGATAACTAACGTCTTTCACATTTAGTATTATCATTTCGTTGTAGTATGCATTTGATAATAACACTAATGTATGTTGTTCTTCTATGTGGTAACGATGTCGAATCGACCTTGTTCAAAACTAATTTTCGATTTTTTGTTAAAAGTGTTGCACATGTTTATCATTCAAATTGGCGTGCAGATTTTCTTGCAACAAAACCACATGTTAAAAATCGTTTTAAATTAACAACTGCAGTTCGACATTATAATTCATCTGATTTTATATATCCAATGATTCTTACTGTTGGTTCATGTCTCGTTCATCGAAATCTTAAAGTAGCTCGTGATCGATATAACTCATCGCTTATTTATGTTGATATATTAAATATGCAATATGATGAACTACCACCAGATCGAGCACGTGATAATCGTATAACAGCACGAATTGCTTGTAAACATATATTACAAGGTGTTCGTCGAAAACGTTTATTAAATCAATATTTTATAGAAGAAGTATCAGAGATAATACATATCGAATGGATGAAACGTAATCTAAATCATCCACAAAAAGAATTAATGGTACCTTATGATAATTTATCTCATATAGAAAAAAGTAAAGATCGAAAAGCTGTATTAATTGCTTGTCGTTTATATAATGAACTTTATTTATATTATTGGTTCAATACAACTCCGATTTATTTTACTGGACGTATTATTTATTAGAATTTTACTATTAGTTTTCTTTCTTTTTTTTTTTCTATATTTATCTTATGTTTATAATATTATGTGTCTCTTTTTGCTGTGAAATCTAATGCATAAATCTATTATAGAATTTGAGATTTTCAACTGAAGAGACAAAGAAATATAATACTCACTTGTCTTTCTACTGTAAAGGTGACAAATGAAAAAACAAATACGATAATATCAGATAGTATTGTTAAGCAGATTACAGTATTCAAATTCTTATCAAACATTATATATCTAGTTTGAATAAGATTAACATGAATATTTCATAATTGATCTATGAACCATAGAAAGAATTTTTTTTTTCCAAAATTGAAAGATATATTATTATCAAAAAATTATAAAAGAAAATTTAAAAAAGATAGAATAGATACTTCTGTCTATTTAAATATAAATGTAGGACAACAAAAAATATTTAAACATCTATCTATAATAATGCATATTATGATTAAAAATAAGTGACGATAAATATTACATGTTACTTTAATAATTCTAACGAAAGCAATATTATAAAATGAGGAATAATTTAGTTATTATAAATAGATGAAAATTTATATTTCTTATGATAATATATGATCAATTACAAAATTTTGAATAACATATCTTTAAATAGAAGTTTAATATACGTATATTCGTCATTTTTTGTTTTACTTATTCTTTAATGGTATCGAATCGATAAGGAAAAAAAAAGCATCATATGACGTTGAAAGAAGTTCGAGTAATTTGAACCTTCTGTTTAACTGCTGGCATCTGTCAATCATCACTCATACTTTTGTACTTAAAAGTCAAGTAATTAGATCTTTTGTACACGAAACTAAAAAAAAATGAAAGCATTTGTTCGATTCATTCGTCTTTTTTTTTCTCAGATTTTTTGTTTCTTCTTCAATATTTTAAATGATATACTACTATTGTATTTGTCACATTTAGAAAATCATCTTTATAAGCGAATAAATGTTGTTTGAAATGTGGATATCGATCATAACCTCTTGGATTTTATTCACTTATTCTTATGCTAATAAGAATTTTTATAAAGGGTAAATATATATTTAATAGGTTAATTATCAATTTATATTTAATATAGACATGAACTAATACGTGTTTTACCAAAAACAAATGAACATCTTCAATTAATTCGCTATTTTGAAGATAATTATGGAGTAAAGATTTTAATAATTTCGATAGAAATATAAATTTTTTTCTTTAGGTCGATCGATGGTCTGAAGTTCTACAGATAAATCGAGATATTAAAATGAGTTTACCACAGAAACAAGTATCAAAAATAAAAAAATTATGCAAACAACATGGAATCGATGTTACCATTCTTAATAATGATTTAGACGAGTAAAATTTAATCGAATTTTCATTGAATAGAAAATCATAAAAAAAAAATTTTTTTATTTAATTTCTTAAGATTAATAAAAAAATCAGATTATATTTCTAAACAACATAAAAACCGAACACGACGTTCAATAAAAGATCGAATTCCACATCATCTTACAGATTATTTAACATATCAACAGGTAAATATATTTTGAAAATAAATAAATAATTATTTTATATTTTTCAAATAGATTTTTCTATTTCTTAATGAACAACATAATCGATCTTTATCTTCAAAAAATTTTACTTCACTTTTTTCTATTGGTAAAACATATGAAAATCGATCAATTTGGGCAATACGAGTATTTTATTGTTAAATATTAAATTTTAAAAAAAGTTCTATTATTATTTTTTATTAAGATTGGTAAACCATCTGCACGACGTAATATTATAATGGATTGTGGAATTCATGCAAGAGAATTTATTTCGCCTTCCACCTGTCTTTATATGATTGATAAAGTAAAGTGTTCTAATGACTTGTAGATTAATGAGAAAAAAAAAGATGATACTGCTTTGTTTTAGTTGATTGATGAAGTTAATAATAGAAGACCATCTATTTTATCAATATTTAATATTTATATAATTCCATTGCTTAATCCCGATGGTTATGAATATGCTCAAACAGAAGTAATTCACCATATTTTTTTTGTTTATTTTAAACAATTATTTTTTCGTTTTTCTAATAAAATAGAGACGAATGTGGCGTAAAAATCGATCACCGAATAGTTATTATTATGGTTTAAATCCAAATTGTATGGGAGTTGATCTTAATCGGAATTTTGGATATCATTGGATGGGTAAAAATTGACTTTAAAAAAAAAAAAGAAAAAGTTCTACGGTTTTCTTTTCTCTTAGAAAATGGTGCGTCAACAAATCCTTGTTCTGAAACATATGCAGGACCTAGACCAGATAGTGAACTAGAAACACAAAGTTTACAAAAATTTATTAAAAAATCCTCACAACGTTGGGATGCTTATTTAACATTTCATTCTTATGGACAATATTGGATTTATCCATGGGGATTTGCTTTACATATGCCTGATGATTATATTGAATTAGTATTTTTAAAATTCTTTTTTTTGTTTTTACTCATTAAAAAAAAGTAAATATTTTAAATTTTATAGAAACGTAAAGCACAAATTGGCTCTGAAGCATTAAAACGAGTCAATGGTACTTCATACAAGATTGGATCAGCAGCTAATTTACTTTGTATATATTTCCGTTTTATTTTTATTTTGAATTTTTTTAAAATTCTTTCCATTTAGATGAATCAGCAGGTGGTAGTGATGATTGGGCTAAAGGCGTTGGTCAAATAAAATATGTTTATACTGTTGAATTACGTCCTTCAGATGATATGAATGATGCACATGCACATTTTGCTTTTATGCTTCCATCAACATTTATTGAACCAGTTGGACAAGAAACATATGTTGGTGTTAAAGAATTTCTTCGGTCACTTATTACATCTCGAAGACAAAAGTCTTCATCGAAAAATATCTATGAAAGTTGAAAACTCTTTGTTTTTTTTCTTTTTTTTACTAGTAGTATAATTATACTTTTTGCCTTATCTTTTATCTTTCTTTTTTGAAATATTTTTCAAGTTTCTTTTTTGTTGGAAAAATGTTAAATGATAGTCATAGACGATTCACTTGCATATCTTGACGTTAATAGAACAGTTAATATGACGAAAATAAATAAGAATAAATTAGAAACATCTTCAGATTAACAACAAATATTAATTACTCATATTTTAAGTTTAATCAGGAGAATTTTATTTAATTATTTAAACTGAAAAATATCCAAAAAAAAAATATAAAATATTTGGCCTTGATCAACATTTTAATATATCAACACAATATCAGTTGGAAAATTGTGATAGACTTAAAATAAAACCAATATAAACAGATAAGTTTTTTTCAATGTGATATTCCTAATAGAATAAAATTACATGAAATTATTAAAGAACAACAAATTCATATAATTATTCATTTATCAACTCTATTTGAGAATTATTCTCATATTAAAAATATTTCATGTATTCATATTAATGGAACAAAAAATATTTTTTGAAACACCTTTGTTATCATTATTTATTTTAAATAATTATTCTTATGTTTTATAGCCAATATTCGTCGTATTATATATACAAGTTCATTAATGACAATTTTTTGTTATCTTAATTCTGAATCATATCTTTTAATTTTTAATAAAACTTTTGATAATGAAACAATGTTTAAAAGTATTAGAAAATAAACTCTATCAGATGATCTACCTTTACCTGATACTCAAACATTAACCTAAACAGCATATTCTCAAAGTAAAATTATTAATGAACAAATGGTTGATGATATTATTAAAATTAGTTCAAATCCATTATTTGTGCTCGTTTTGGACAGACTAATATAAGTGATCATCCAAGATAAACGTGGCTTCGAACTCTATGGATTAGTCATCGAGATCTATGTTCATTTATTGATAAGGTATTACAAACTTCTGAAAATATTAGTAGGATATACTTTATTGTGTCAAATAATCATCGTCTTTGAGTCGATTTAGATAATGCTAAAAAAGAAACTTTGACTTTGTACCACAAGATAAAGCTGAAAAAATATAATAATAAATATTGAATTTGAATATAAATTTAAATTTAATATATTTTATAAAAATTAGAAACATAATAGAAGACAGAAGACGAAATAACATTTTTTTTTCTTTGTTCAATTCTTTTAAATTGTTTAACGTTAAAATATTCTACTTAATGTACAAATTCCTCGAAAAAAAGAAAAAAGTAACAAATGAGAAACCATTTGATGGTCTCACTCAAGAAGAATCAACATGAATTCGTCTTTATATACAATGAAATAGAAGCCAAACAAGTAATTAGTTTAACTTGGTCTTAACTGAAGTCTCACTGTTCAAGATCGTGCTCTTCTTTTTTTTTTTTTTTCTATAGACATTATTTGGCCTGCTGCATAATTTTTATTAATTAGAAATATTCGATTATCAAAAACAATATTTCAGAATCGATTAGAAAATTAACGTTCATTTTATATTCTGTTTATATTAACAATTTTTTATATCTATTTTCATATAAACCATTTGAAACAACAATTATTAAAATAAATAAAAATATTAATATTAATATTAATATTAATATAAAAAGAAGATAGATGCAAATTGTCCAACTTGATGAACAAAAATTGAATGTTAAAAGGTGTATATTTAATTGTTACCAAATTTGGCTATCAGAAAGTTTCTTTTAGAAAAAATTAATATGTGTCATGACTATTTCCGTCTATACTTCACATATAATTAACATTATAATTACGTCTTGTGAAAGTAGAACGAATAAGAACTAGTATCTATATTAAAAATTATAAGATTTTACAACTATTTATATCTTAAGATAAAAAAAATAGAAATAATATTTCAAACATGAATATATAGAAATTAGTAACATTATGCAAAATGAAATGTTATATTAGAAAATCTCAATGTTCAAAGTATTATAATTACTAATTTAAGTTCATATTCTTATATAGGTGTTTAGAGCTCGTAACACTTTTAATATTAACAAATTACAAGATAAGTCATATTCT